TCCTTCCTGGGTCTGTTGTCGCGCAGGCCGGGAGCTCCCGCGCAGGCCGGGAGCTCGCGCGCACGCCGCCGGGTGATCGCAGACCAATTGTGTGTGTTTTTAAAAGAAAGGCCAAGCCAGTTTTGGTTAAGAGTAATGGAGAAAGGTTCATGAAGGATGGGAGGGGGACTTTGAATGGTGAGTAGCTGGGATACGGAACAGAGTCCCAGGTAAAAGCCAGCATTCTGGGGCCATGTAGCATGTCCTGGAGACAGTAAGGCTGATCAGACTAGAGGGGAGCATGTCTGGCAGTGAACTGTGGGACGTACCTGGGCACTGGTGGGCTTTGAATATCACTGTGGACCTTTTCCTGAGAGGGAATGGGAAGGAAAAGAGTAATGTGAGGATGTCAGTGTTCTGGAAAGAGGACCAGCTCTCTGTGACTTTGGTTTGGCTGTCAAAGTTTCAGCGCCTCCTTCGAGATGCACGGGCTATATTCTTTGTGCTTGTGGAGCTCACAGGAGATGGGCAGTCCTTCCTTCCTCTGTGTCCCCTTGGAGTCAGGGAACTTTGCCCCGGGAACTTGCATTTATTCCTTCAAGCCATGCAGCATGTAGGTTATTGTAAAGCCGAAGGAGGAAAACCCATCTTCTGCCTTATCTTTTTCTTCTTCTGCTTTTCCCTGTGACTTTGTTCTCTTGCCCTTAGCCTCTGTGGATCTTGGTCGCATTCCTCTTTGGATTTTTCCTGTTCCCACAATGACTTTAATGAAGCCCTCATCACTCACAGAAAAGAACCCAGCCCTGGGCTGGAGGTTGAGTGCTGATAGCATTCCAGTCTTTCTTTCCTGAAGGGAGATGGTGTCTGTGTGAGATAAATGCACCACCACTTCACAAAATAACTGCCCATCACAGAGCTTAAAATAACAATAACAGAACATGTGCCATGCTTGTGGGATGCAAGGGCTCATGGGGAAGGAAGGGGGTGGGGAGCAGAGAAAAGAAACAGATTTTAATGTCAGGCTGACAAGAGTTTATTATACACATCAGTGGTTAAAATAATTACTTTTTAAAAATTATGAAAAAAGCTTTCTGGGGCCCTATAAAATACCAGCTGCCATTTCTTGCAGTAGATTTGCTGGTGCTACGAAAGAGACACCTTATTTTTCCAGATGCCCTTGAGGATCTTGGCAAGAGGCGGTGGAGTTAGACCTGTTTTCTCCTTGCCTGTGCACCTGGAGTTCCCCCTTGAGGTGCTCTGCATGTCTTTGCTCCAGTTTCTCCCTTTCAGCCCTTGAGGTTGGGATTGTCTTTCCCTCAGAGCTGCATCGTGGGTAAAGGTGCCATTTGGCATCATTGTTTCATGTGCTTTGAAATAGTCAGGGTTTGTGAATAAACGAAGCCATGGATCGAATTGGCGGGGACAGATGGAAGCCTGAGAACCTGGATCTCAGTTTTCCCAAGCAGGTAAAATCTTCTCACCGGAAACGAGAATGTGGATCGTTAGGTGGTTCCACACAGGGAAATCTGGCTGTGCTGTGGCCTCTTGTTCCAGTATCGGAAATTTTTTTTTAGAATTTTGAACTCATCATATAACTCAAGAAAGCTCTGATGCCCTTGAGTGGGAAGGATAGGACCAGAAAATGACTGCGTAGGACTCTGTTGATCATGTGGCTTATCATGTGACTGTATCTACCTGATCACAAATCTCCTATACTTCCTTTGGGACCCATTTCCTTTATTTGTGTGGCACTGGGGCAGGGGTGTCAAACCCAGGGGGAGTCTACTACTCATCTATTACCCTAGTCCTTTTTATATTTTATTTACCAAATTCCCCAGGCTGGCCATGAGGTTACAGTTCTTCTGCCTCAGCCTCACAAGTAGCTGGGATTACAGGCATGAGCCACAGTGTCTGGCCCCACTTTCTTTTTACTTTTTACTTCCTTTCTCCTTTGGATTTTCTGTTTGGTGCAGAACTGAAAGCAAATCTTTTTATGCCACTCTTTCATTGGTGCCCGTGATAATAGTGAGATTATCCCCTAAGATTGAAATTATCCCGTGGGATCAAAGGTGCAGGTTGTTCTAATCATCAGACAGATACCTGCAAATAAAATGAAATGCTCCCAGGTAGCTGATGGTTGTTACATTGTCCTTTCAAAGAGCCAGTGCCCTGCCTGCAGGGTGTTGAGTGTGTGTGTTCAGGTAAGGAGGGGCGTGGCCTGCTGGCCCTGCTCTGCCCTGTCCTGCCCTCCTGGCTGCCCATGACCTGCTTGGCTCTGGTCCTGAGCTGTTCTTGAGACTCTGGAGGGCTCTTTCAGTGAATACCATTGCCTCCTCTGTCCCTTGAAATGGCATTCTGACTCTCTATTGTTCTTGGCTGAAATATGAGTAAAAATCCACTTTATTCTTCATTTAGCCAGGACAGATAAGGACTAACAAGCACAAAGCAAAATCGTGACAAAACACGTGATTGGAACCTTCCCACCAAGAGCAAAGGAATGGAAGGGCCGAGAAGCGGCCCCTGCTCTCCACTCCAGGTTGGCACCAGGGAGGAGGCATCTCCACTTCTTTCAGTCTAGCCCCGATGAACTCACCCCTCAGGTGGCCCCTGTACAGGTGCCAACTTCACCCGGAGGCCCTCGGCCCTCACCTGCCTACCTTCCCAGGAGCTGACTGCTTCCTGTGTCAGAGCACTGCCCATCCCTCAGGTTCCCCCTCGGAACAGGACGGTGAGTCCTGCTCCAGTGAGCCCCGGCTGATGAGTCAGCTTCATTCCCGCAGGTGGCCAGAATGTATTTTCTGACCCTCCAGTTCCAAGATGAATGTAATTATTATGTATCACAAGCATATGCTATTAATAAAAAAATACTGTGTGTCATGTTGGCGTCAAAAAGTTGGGATGGCGGAGCATTCTGGATGTAGATTAAGAATGTTCAACTGTTAAGTTTTTTTTTCCCCTTGAAAGAGATTGACAACATTAAAACCCCTGTATATGTCATTCCTGAACAATGTGACTGGAAAGCAACCTTTTTGACAGAAGGGAGAGACCAGTTTCTAAGGGCTGCTGAGCATGTGACATCCCTCTGTAGACTTAGTTTCAGTTTCTGTGCAGCTGCAATTGGAACAGACATCAGCTGGAGCTGGCTTCATTTTCCCTAAATGCTCCATAGGGTGCTACATGCAAATGTAGTGTTTGGCTGCGGGTCAGGGAGCCCACTCCCATTTTATAGGGGATTTTCAGGAAGGAAGCGTGGTTAAAACTAGGTTATGTGTGTGATGAACTACTTTATAGATTTACATGAAAGTACTCAGACTAGGTGAATTGGGTATTTTCTACCAGAATCTCAAATCATATTTGGAAATGTATTTTGGCAAAGTCAACATCGTCTGGCTATCGCACAGAAGATAGAAATCAGCAGGGGAGGGCGCGGGCTCCTGGGGGCGTGCCCCAGCCAGTGGGGACTAGGCTCCTGGGGGCGGGGCTGGGATTAGAGGCTGAGTTTGCCCAGCCGCTCTGCTAATGATGTGAAGCCTAAGTAAACAGCAAGTTAATGGACTTCCCAGATCTGTGAAATTCAGCAGCTGCTGCAAACAGCGGTAAGCCCCGGAAGAACCGAAGTTATAAAGGAAGGGAGAGAGGAAGAGGAAGAAGAGGACGAAAAGGGGAGACAGGTCAGCCGTGTAATCGGGAAGCAACAGGGCAGAGATCCAGCTTTTGGAATTCCATTTCTTGCATCTGAGTGTGGAGGCCGTGTATTCTGGGGGTTCATTCAGACCAATGGCAGAGCTGAGACCACACTGAGCTGTGACCAACCAAGGACACCCTGTGGAGAGACTTGTCTGGGTCTTTTAGGGTTGGGTTGTGTATGTGGACATAGCAGAATAGGCATCAGAGACAAAGTCAATGTGGTTCTCCCTTTTGAGAGAATTAATACACGAGCGTAAACATTCACCTTTAATAGGTCAAAATTTGTCATCAAGGGAGTGGTAACAAATTACACAGCGTCAGCTAATTACCATCCCTTTATAAATTAGTCCCCATTCTGTCTTGTTTAGCTTCATCCATTTCTGTTTTTGATAGACACCCTACACCTCAGACAAGTGACAGGGCTTGCTGTTCCCTGTGACATATTTTTCTGTCCTGCTGCTTAGAAGCCCTGCCTGGCGCCGCCTCTCTCCACCACCCTCTGGTTCTTAATGTCCATCCTTACTGTTTGCTTCCTTGCCTGTGAATTGTGAGAGCTGAGATGAGCTGAGATGCTGGAGAATAGGAGCAAAATGGGCCTCTTTTTTTTTCCTATCAACTCCAGTGTCTCAAGTTTCATTGACTCTATTGGAATTTAAGAAAGGTTGCTGATCAGAGGGTGAATGGCTGACATTGAGTTAGAAAGTGAAGATGTGAGTCCTGGTGGATGGTCTGCCTCTGTGGTGCCACACAGCCCGTAGACATGGTGAGGGCGAGGGGCACATGGATTTCCTCAGTAGTCGCCATGCTGGGTGGGTTGCTGTAGACCTGTAGAGCATGGGCTAAGCTTGTTTTAACTGCAGTGACTGTTTTGCTGCTCCCAATGCACCCTGGCATGTTTTGTATGGCTCTGGAGGCCGCATTAGATTGGGGGGGGCGGGTACAGCATGTGGTATTGAAGGTCTGAGATGGGATTCTCAGGAGATGGGGGTTTAGAGGAGACTGTCATGACTTCTGGGGGATGTGGCAGGTGTGCAGTGGAGACGTTCTCGTGTCCTTGTGTAGATACTGTGCCTCTGTGTCTGGCAGTGTGACGATAGGCACTTTGTATCCTGATGACAGCTCGGGAGTTGAGTGCGGGATGTAGGCGGGGAGAGCCCTGGGATTGCCAGGTGGGAGTGGGCTTGAAGGGAAGGAGGTGTCTAGGCCTTGCCTGTGGAAGCTGGAAAGTATGAACCCCATGGTGGATGCCCACGGTCGATGAGCAGGCTGCTTGGGACGAGCATGAAATGGGCATAGGAGTTTACTTCCCAGGGGTCAAGGACTAGGCTTTAGCCCCTTCTGAGAGCCAGAGTCCTCAGAGAAGTGAGAGACACTGTGAGCATTGCAGATGGTCCCTGCCCTGGCAGGCTATGAGAGGGGCATCTATCCAGGAGTCCCCAAGGGATGGGAAACTGTAGCTGTGGCCAAGAGAGCACTGACGGAGAGAGATAGTCTGCAGAGATCTTGCAGAAAGGGGCTCTGATCTGGTGTGGGAGGCCTAGGAGGGGACCTGGGGTCAGCAGGCTTGAGCCAAGGTGTGCAGGAGGTGTGGGGCAGTTAGGTGAAAGGGAGATGCCCAGAGCTGAAGGAACAGCATGGCGCTCGCATCTTTCCAGGTAACACTGTGCTTCCATCCAGTGAGGATGTTAGAGTCGAAAATGAACTTTGCTTTGACTGAGATCTTGTATGCCCTTGAGTCATAAGTCTTCCTGGGTGGGTGCTGTGTTGAATTGTGACCCCAGCAAACATTTATGTTGGAACCCTAGCCCCAGGACCTCAGGATGTGGCCATATTTGGAAGCTGGGTCTCTGTAGATGAAGTTAAGTTGCGGTTACTCAGGTTGGCTCTCTCGTTCACTGTGACTGGCATTCTTACAAGTAAGGGAAATGGGACATAGAGTCAGACTCAGACAGAGCATGGCCATGTGAGGAGGGAGGTGGGGCTTGGAGTAAGGCTGTCAGAAGCCAGTGATGGCTTAGGGCTCCCATAGAAGCTGGAGGCGACAAGGGAGGACCCTTCTGTGGAGGCTGCAGTGGGAGGGTGGCCCAGCCAACACTTTGACTCTAGAACTTTGAGAAGATGCATTTCTGTGTTTTGAAGTTACCCATTTAGTGACTGTTACAGCAGGCCTCAGAAACTTAAGACAGTAGGGGAAGGAAGAGAAATGAAGGGTTGTGTTGAGGATTAAATGGAACATATTTATACCCAGGACAAGGCCTGGAACAGAATAGGTGCTCTCTGAATAGTAAACATTGTTGTGTCATGGGGCAGGACACAGGGGCAGATGCCATTTTTGTGTGGAGGTGGGGTTTGTTTTTGTATTTATTTTTAGAAAAACTGGAAATAAAGGTTAAGTTGGGCTAACACACACAGACACACACACACACACACACACACACACACACACACACACACAAACACATGCATGCCCACACACTGGTAGCCTCCCTACAGAATTCTTTATTTACCTATGTTCCTATCAGTCCACCCCTGGTAAGTCTCCAGCTCTGTCATCAGATGACAGAGCTTGAAAATACAGGTAGATCACAGCAACCTGAAGACAATGCTGACAGGTAAATGACCAAGCCCAGATCCTTTATAGGGGACAGTTTGCATACTAAGAGGGTCAGCACTAGGGTGATCCAGGCCTGAAGTACCATGCTGAGAGCATCCCAGAAGGGGTAACACAGTGGCCAAAGCAAGTTGTACCCACATCCTTGCTTCCCCCGAGCATGATCCCAGGTGAAGGCAGGTTTTTCCTTTTGGTTCAGGCTGTTTCCCATTCCCGCTTAAATTCTAGACTGATGCAGGCTCAGGCTCATCCTCTTCAGATTCTCAGAGACATTACTGAGTCTAGATTATTTCTTCCTTCTTCTCTTAGTATCTGAGATTTTGGACTTCCCATCACAAAGCAAATCCAGTCTGAGTTATCCATTGAAATGAGAGTCACCTGCTGAGGCAAGGAAGTAGAGATCAACCTGGCCTCAGGAGCTGGAGAGGGGACTTTGATGCCTGCCACCTGAGGTCCTTGTCCCACCTCTTGGGTATGGTTACTTGTCTTTACTTCAAAGCCAATTTCTTATCTCTGAAGTGGGGATGACAGTACCTAACCTCTACAAGCTGTCCTGGTAGTGATGATGGCATGAGAGAGCACCTGTAACCTGCCTCGTTGGCTATCTGGGCACAGTAGGCACTCAGTCCATGGGAGTATTTGTGGGTTATGTCTGCCCTGAGCAGTGGGCTTTCTGCCTTCTGAGGGCTGATGGCTGGGGGTAAGTAAAGCATCTGCTTCTGCACTGGGTTGCATACATATTTGAATGAGATTTAGTGAATATGGTACAAGGGTGCTATTTCAATTATTATTTTGGTTGTCACCCCCAGTGCAAAGCTCTCGGGGTGCCACAGTATGTCATATAGATGGAAGAGGATTGAAAGCAGGATGAGGACTGCCTCTTTTTGTCACTCTTCCCTTTCTTTCATTGTTTCCCAGAAGGAGCCATTGAATGTCATATGCTTGGAACAGGCTGGAACTGAAGATGGGGAGAAGAGGACTGTCCCACACAAAGAGTTCTGGGCCTTAGAGTTCCCGAGAACAGCTGTCAGATGACAGCTATCAGCCTCTGTGGATACAACCTCTCCTGGGATTGAAGTTCTCTTGAGAAAACATTTTTCCTTGTAAATCAGTCCTTATTCCTCAAAGTCCTGCACTTCAGTGTTCCTTAGCAGAGGTGGAACATGTTAGACCTCAGCCTCTGCTTGAATATTTTTGGTATTCCTGATGACTTTTAACAATGTCTTCCTGACCTGACTTAGAGGCTACAGTGCCATGTGCTTCTTGCCTACATTTTGTTTCTCTAACCCATAAATAAACCACTGGATGAGAGGCTCCCTCAAGGTAGAGCCACTTCATCTGGAATCTCCAGATCACCTCCCCCCTGGGAAGGACAAACACAGGCCTTCCGTGTGCGAAACTGGTTCTTGGGTTTTCTTTTATTGTCCCACAAAGAAATCTCTACTTGTTCTTATAAAAATTCTTTCCTAGAACATTTATTTTGTGTTGTTATTTAAGAGACAATAATTGGGCTTCTGTCACGTTTTTTTTAGAAAACTATCTTAGCTGTGCAGCCTGTTCACTTGAAACCAACCAAAATATTCATATTCTTTCATCCATATGTTCACAGAAGATAAAACTAAAATAGCTTGTTTTATATTACCGGGATTAAGATGGTAAACATGCCCCCAAATATCAAGTGGGTAGAGCAGTGCAGATTCTGCCTGGAGTAAGGCATTATTTCTGACATTATTATTTGATCTTTTCATCTGTCCGTCATCTGTCCATCATTTATCCATCCATCCATCTATCCACCCACACTTCATTCATGAGCATTTATTAGCACAAAGCTTTGAGACTCGTGGATGGTACACACCTGTGGAGAAAAGGATCAAGGAAGTCCTGGCAGAGGGCAACATTTAATATGTTGCATTATTAGCATCTTACTTCCATGTACTCTCTTCCATTTTATTTAGGATTATATATGGAAAACAAATCTATTTGTGCTTCTTATGTATATTATATCTCAAGGAAACTATTGGCTAAATATGTAGGAATTGGTTCTGGTTTGCACATTTTCCATTTTTCATATTCCTGAATATTCTGTTTTTTTTTGTTTTGTTCTGTTTTTTTTTTTTTTTTTTGGTACCAAGGATCAAACTCAGGTCCTTGTGCTTGCGAGGCAGACAGTGAAACCACTGAGCTAAATCCCCAGCCCATTCCTGAATATTCTGTGTCTTCTGTGTTTCTCCCTCATTGGAGACAGAGCAGTTGGAGAGGGACAGGAGAGGATGAGTAGCTTTTGCTTTTTTTTATTAGCCATTCTGATTAAAGTTGAGTTCAGAACTCAAAGTGGCCTTTCTGTATAAAATGTGACCTGGGACATTTGGGGCTTCCTTAGCCTGGCATTGTGTGGTGCCCTGGCCTTTGTCAGCAGATTCGCTGGATTCCTGATAATAAATTTCCCAGTTACTACATGGGTCTCTCATCTGCTGTGTAAAAAGTGAGCACCACAACACCAGTCTGGCAGAGGTATTGTGAGGAGGAAATGTCTGGTGCAGCGTCAGGCATGTGTGGTTGCTTGACTCGTGTTGGTTTCTTCCTCCTCACTCTGATTTTTTGAGATAACAGGAAGTAGGTTTCACCTGAGTGTCATGACTAGGACACTTTGCAAACAGTTCAGTGCATGCTGTGGTTGGGACAGGGTTTGAGTGTGACTCTCAAAGATTCCTGTGTTGGTGGCAAGGTCCCCAGCGTGGAATGTGAAAGGTGGTGGAAGCCTCCGGAAGTGGGTCTTAATGGGGTGGTGGTCCCGGACCCTGGGGCTGCTGCCCTAGGAAGGGATTAATGCTGCTATTGTGGAGTGAGTTCTTGTGGGAGTGACTCATTACAAAGTGAGCCCCCCCCCCCCGAAAGACTTGGCCCCTTTTGCACATGACCATTTTTCTTCCTGTTCCTCTGTCACATTGTGATGTAGCTGGGGAGGGGGAGGGGGGCTCTCAGCAGAGCCTGAACAGATGGGCTGCCCATTCTTGGACTTGAAGCTTCCTAAATTGTGAACTTAAAAAGTCTTTTCTTTATAATATTCCCAACCTTGGGGTATTTTGTTAACAGTAACAAAGTAAACTAATATGGTACCCTATTTTAAGATTCAGTTTAATTCCTATGCTTATTAAAGTGCTATCACATTTGGCTTAGGAAGGCCAGAGGTCAAGATGGTGGTCTTGGCCTTGCCAACTAACATGTTGTATGACCTTAGGGAATTCTTGGCCCTTTTGCTCCAATTTTACTATCTGTCAGATGGAGCCTGAATGGTTGCCTCTTCTCCCCAGAAGCAGCTGCAAGACATAGATGAGATAAGATGGGGAATATTTTGAGATTGCTTATTTGCTGATACACGGCAGAGACTGAACTATCATCCCTGCTTGGTTATATCAGAATTAAACTTCAGTTCCTCACTCAGTATCATTTTTGCAGGCACACGTTTAATATACCTTGTTTAATTTATCTGTGTCTCTTGGCTGCAGGTAGTGCCAGGGGCCTGAACTATTGTTGCACACTCAGGACATAATTTTCTGTGGAGAGAAACAGCAACCCTTATTTCACCTGCTGAAAACTCTAGTTGCAGAAGAATTTGGCTCAGACTTTCCTAAATAAATTTACCTTTGGGCCGAGTCCAGAAATGGAAAATTTTAGCTGGAAACAATAGCTTGTCAGAAAAAACAGAAGTGACTGCAAACTGGGTTCTCAGTACCCACAAGAGAAGGCTCGGGTGTAACTGCAACCATCCTGTTCCAGCCCTCCTCACCCCTGGGGAAGGCTCAGTAGACGAGGAGCAGGAGAGTCTTAGTGTTTGTCTGCTTTTTCCCACTGTCAGACTCAGAACTTTGCCCTCTGGAGTGATGGGTGGGCTTGCTTTCATTTTGTGGGCCTGATAGCATTTGACTGTGTAATTATTCCTCTCAGCTGAATATCCCCAAATATCCTTTGACATGATGGTGGTGTAGGTAGGTTTAGCAAGCATAATTCCTATAATCCATAGAGTGTCAAGAAGGTACTTATTTTCAGATCAAAAGCTGCTGACCTGATTAAGCTTTCTGTCTTGCTTTGGAACTTAGGATAATGAATTTGCCCAGTGCAGTGGCTGTTGGGGTTTTTTTTGAAGATGGTTCTGGGTGCCGAGCGGGCCTTTTATACCAACCATCAGAAGCTTCAGGGTAACATCAGAGCTCTGTCTGGCTTTCTAGCCATTTTCACTGTCCCCTAGGTCATGGTAGCAGATGAAGGATTTCTCGTCTTTTGCAGTTGGTCCTTGAAGTTAACATTATTTCGGGGACTGGAAATACTTTCTTCTAGGGATTTCACTTGCAGAAACATGTCCAGGTGAAAATTTGAGGCTGGAGTAGGAGGAGAAGGTGTGGAGGTCTGGGGGAAAGGATTCTGAGTTGATGCTGCGGTAGAAATGCCTCATGCTGGCCAGAAGATTGGTACTTCATGGCTGCAGTTGTAGTTGGCAAGAGAAAGTGGCTCCGAAGTGAAGTGTTGTCCAGGATTGCCTTCTCTCAGTGAAAAACTTTCCCTCCTCTTCCAACAGAGGAAATAAGTGCATATTAAAAATGTAATGAGAAAATGAGGCTCTGAAAGTGCCCTGTTTCTCTTCATTCTCAGATTGCCACTTTCCCCAAACCTCCCTGCTCTTGTTTCCAACCTCCTTTTGTGGTTCTTCCCATTGTCCTTCCAGTTCAAGGGAACTTGGAGCAGGGTCTGTGAAACAGCTGTGCACGAAGAGGTCTATGAGGCCTGGGCTTTCCTCTTGCAGGAGTCAGACTTGAATCCAGAATGATCTTAGCTCTTGGTTCTGCTTTGAATTAATTGAAGAGCTGCCCATGTCACAGTCTCTGCTGTCCCATCCCCACAGTGTCTTCTCTGTTATCCCAAGAAGAATTTTGTCTTGGCTCCAGGACAAGTTGGCCCTTCCACAGTGAATTAAATTCCAGCAGAAGGAAAATGAGATCTCTTGTCTTCTGTGTGTGAGAGAATCTGGGTATAATGCAGGTGACTCATAGGGAAGAGACTTGATCAATAGCAGAAACACCTTTCATTTGAACTGTGTCTTAGTTACCAAAGTGCCTTCTCATTTCTTATTCCTATGAGAAGGAACCCGGGGCAGAGAGTCATTAAGTATTTCGCTCAAGATCCCAAATCAAATAAATGATAGTGCACATAAAATTGGCTTACCTTTCACAGGTCAGCGTGAAATTGAATGGGTTTTCCACTTTCACTTGGGAGCTAGCTCATTTCCCCGAAGGACAAGGGTCCTGGCCAATAGAAATCTGTGATTTTATGACTGTTTTGTTTCTCACAGTCTAGCAGGCACCACATCTGAGTCTGCAAATGCTGGCTTTTGATGACTGCAGTGGAATTCCCCTGTGGGTCACAGTTCATTATTTCCCAGGTGTATATTCTCTGTTTAGAGCATGTGTCCTGGAACTTGCCGGGTCTGTGGATAGCACAAGCCTGGTCTTAGTTTGCATCTGTGTTTCCTCCACCATAACAAATACCTGAGATAACCAACTCCTAGACAAAAGATTTATTTTGGCTTACAGATTTAGAGGATTCAGTCCATCATTGGTTGGCTCTGTTGCTTTGGGTGGGAGAACATAGAGGAACAAAACTGCTTACTTCATGGCTGGGAAGCAAAAGAGAGAAACAGGAGACCAGACTCCTCATACTCCCTTTCAAGGTCTTGACCCCAATGGCCTCAAGCCCTGCCTTTTAAAGTTTTCACCACTTCTTAGCAGCCCTCCCCTGGGGTCTGGGCCTCCAACACATCAGCCTTTGGGGGGATATTTAAGATTCAGACTATGGCACCATCTCTGCAATGTGGAGGCTGTTATATTTCTTCCACTCATCACCGAGTCTTCGCCAAGGTTGTAATTGTTAGCAAACATCTGAATTTACTAGAGAGGCAGGAAGGGTGAATGGATAATAACACTTTATATTCCCAT